CTTCCCCTGCCTCATCTGCCAGGACACTGACACTTGAGCCCACAGACTCCTGTCCAGGGCCACAGGGCTCACCTGTCTGCTTCTTATTTCCCCTTCCCCAGCTGTCCCCAGGACTGGGAATGAGATGAATCATGGGTGCCAAGATGCAAACCAGCCAGACACACTCCTTACAGACACTCCCTGTCCCCACTCCAACCTACCAGAAGGGCTCACTGACAGGGCTGCCTGCGGCAGAGCACTGCAGAAGTGAGGGATACCTGTAATGTCACCTTGTCCAAGCCCCTCAGTTCACAGATGGCAGAAAAAAGGCTCAGAACTCCGAGTGCATGCTCAGCTGATGGGTGCAGTCCAGGTTAGAACTCAGGATGCCCTCCCTCCTCAGACAAAGTTGACAGTCAAAGTTGTCTGTTGTACCCAGGCTTTCAGGCCTCACACTATTTCCAAGTGACTGCTTAGCTCTGAAAATTTCCTCTGTCCACAAAGTCAGATGCACAGAAAGTCTGCCTAATATACAGGCCATCTTTTCAACTATATAGTTGACAATCCAGAGAATTAATACTTACTTCTGAAAACCACTTAGAAAAGAGGCTGTGGCTATTTATTTCAATTAGTTGGCCATATCGGTACCTAGGGTGATAAAAAAAAGGAGTTAAGACAATTACTTTACAAATTAGTCCTCTGGCAACCCGTGACAGCACTTTTGCTCATTAAATACAACAGCTCTCAGCTGCCCAGTGTGGTGAGCATTACTAACAAGTCATTATAATTACTGACAAAGAACTAAGGTACCTACTAGTCTGTACAGTGGGGCCTCGACTTACAGTATCCCGAATAACGAGTTTTTTGAGATACCAGCTCTCTCTTGGCCTATTTTTTGCATTGAGTTGATAGAGTAATTTGAGTTAAAGAGCTTGTTAACGAGCTCCTTAACGAGCTCAGTCTCGGAACGAATTCAACTCATAAGTCAAGGTCCCCCTGTATACTAAATAGTATGAAAAATCTAAAGAAATGCAACCAACAGTTCTGGTTGAAGCAAATTAAGTTTTTCAAACTGAATATCTTCATTTGAATTAAAACAACAGTAAAATTCTTCTCATTTTTAATCTACTTATACTTTATATTTATTTTTTAAAAGTACTACTGGTACTAATAAGCAAACAAATCTAAACAAGCATATGAAGTTTTGTCTGGCACTGAATATTTTTTCCTCCTTCCACAAAACCTTAAAGACTGTGACAATTTATTTTCCAGCACGAATTCTAGCACTGTGGATACTCAGAGGGCAAAAAGTGAACCTTAACACACAAACTGAATGACATCAGCACTAATCCTGCAGCCACTCAGGAGGCAGCTGAGAGGTCTGACACACTGACTAGTAGTTCTGACTAGAATCACAGGAAACCAGACTGAGGCAGGACAGGAGCTGACTCCCAGGTCCTCTCCAGTGTCTTTCATGTTGAAAGTCTATAGAAGGAAAAGAATTACTTTCAAATTTAAAAAAGAGACTTTCCATTTAAAAAAGAAAATAAGACCACTTACTAATTCTGTTCACAAAAGAGAGGAGAGGGAAGACAGACAACATAACAAAATAAAGACTGGGTTGAGTCTCAGAGTTATACATTATCATATTTTTGTACAGTCACATATGGTTTAATGAGGGGATACATTTGAGAAATGCATGGTGAGGCGATTTCCTCACTGTGAGAGCTTTACAGAGGCACTTACACAGGCCTGGGCGCACAGCCCACTGCACACCTACGCTCTGTGGTGCAGCCTGGTGCTCCTCTCCTGGGCTATTAGCCTGTACAGCCTCTTACCATGCAAAACAACAGACGATTAAGTCAAGCACAAGAGAAAATGATGCAATCAAGAGACTTGGTAAACACGAGATGTATGACCCAGCAAACCCCCCCGACCCCCCACACAGCACTGTTTTACAGCAAACTCTTTTTATAAGTAGAAAGAGTACATTGTAAATAAAAATAAAAAGTATAACAACAAAAAGCATACACACTAAATACATAAGCCAGTAACATAGTTGTTTATTATCATTATCAAATATTATGTATTGTACATAACTGTATGTGCTGTACTTTTATACAACTGGCAGCTCAGTGCATTTGTTTACACCATCATCAGCACAAACATGTGAGTAATGTGTTGTGCTCTGATGTCATGATGGCTTCAATGTCACTAGGCAATAGGAATTTTTCAACTCCATTATAATCTTATGGGACCATCATCATTTATGCGGTTGGTTGTTGACCAAAAAGTAGTCATACCATGCATGACTGTACTGGGAAAACTTCTATTTCTTGTAACAACATTTTCACTCTATGGTGTTTTAGGAAACTGCCCATAGAGATCTTTAAAACACAGATGCATTTCAGTATGTCAAGACCAAGGCCACGTTGCTAAGCATAAAATAAAGGGTTGAAATAAAGCAATTTCCCTATGAAAAAATACAAAACACTTCGAAAAGAAAGTAGATATTTAAAAGTAAATCTCATAGAATTCCATTTTCTAAAGCCAAATGGGAGTAACAGGTACCAGATTTACACTGTGCCTTCACCAACTAGACTACTGGACCGCATAAATGAAGCAACATCTATGAAGGGCACTGGACAACAGGCACCAGAGGACTGTGACCTGAGAGAAGGGAAATAAATTGGCGCTAAAATCGTCCGGTTCTCTGTGTGGAGAAGACATAGGAAGAACACAACCACGGGGCTGAATTGAGGAGACAGAGGTCAGAGTTTAAAGAGCCTGAGGCGGCAGAGCAGAGGTCCAGAGGGCAGGAAGATTCTCAGAAATAAAGCACCAGAAATCATCCTGCTGTTCCCTCAAGTCTTCACTGAACACTTGGGTATCTATGAGCAGGGAAATCCATGAGGCTCTCCAGACCTATGAGCTACATGGTTTCAGTGCTCACACAGACTGGCTGTGTTCAAGTTCCCAACAGCCAGGTGGAGAATACCTGTTACTCATTCAAGGTGTTCAACTGAGACCCCAGGAGGAGCCCACTGGAGAATTAAAACTAGGCTCACCTAGACCTCTCTCTAACAAAGCTTAAAAACAAACCTCAAAAGGATTACAACAAATCATGAGTAATGGAAATGCCTATCAGAACAAGACCCAACAGCCTTTGGAGAACCTAGACACTTCAGACCACAATGTCTGCATTCCAACAGAAATTACCTGACATGCCAAGAGCAAAAAACGTGACCTGTAACCAGAAGAAAAACCAGCCAATAGAAAGACTCAGAAATAACGATTATGGATTTAGTTAACAAGAACATTAAAACAGCTCTTATTCACTTGATCAAGGATTTTAACAGAACATAAGTAAAAAGTATAAAAGGAACCAAATGGCACTTCAGAGAGAAAAAATTCACTATCCGAAATGAAAATTTCTCTGAATGGAATTAAAAGCAAATTAGATACTGCGGGAAACTATCCAAAGTGAAACACAGCCAGAAAAAGTTTAAAACCTGAAAAAACAAAAAAGTGTACCAGTGGCCTCTGGGATAACATCACACAATCTAAGATGCAAATTAATGGGCTCCCAGAAAAGGGGCCGAGGGGACACTTGGAAAATTAGTTGAGAAAATAAGGGCCAACTATTTTCTAAGTGTGATGAGACCACAAATTCCAAAGCAGACAGAACTCAAGGAGAAACAGACAAATCCACCATTGGAAGCTTGGCCATTCCTTTCCAGTAAGAGATAGAACATCAGACCAGACAATCAGCAGGGACATCAAGTACCCTGAGCTGACATCCATGAAGCATTCCACCCAACAAGAGCAGAAACACGGTCTTTTTTTTTTTTTTTAATATATTTCTTTATTGATTTAAGAGAGGAAGTGAGAGGGAGGAAGAGATAGAAACATCAACATACTTACCCTGCTAACTCAGTTGATTTGATTATCAAAGAAAAATCAAGCAAATGACGCAAATTGCAAAACATGGGAAAACAAATTTCCCACTCATCTTTCCTTCTTTCTCAGACCAGGATGGAAATTCTCACCCCAGCTCTAAAATCCTCACAATACCTTCGTTCAGGGAGAAAGTGTGGCAGAGCTGTAGAGACAGGCCGCAAGACAAATGAAAAACAACCCATCTGGATTTCCTCTGCTTTACTGTGGCACCATCTGTCCCCACACTAGCACGAAGCAGCAAAGAATGGGAAAGATTCAGGTGCTCAGAAACACATTCTTTGAAGTGCACATGGAACAGTCTGCAGGACAGACCACGTGCTGGTCACTAAGCAAGTCTCCATAAATTTAAAGAGATTGAAGTCATAACTCAAGACTATGTTGAGTATAGAGGAATTATTTTACAATGAAAGAGAGGGCCCTACTATTCATGTAAAGTTATTAAAAAGACAGCTTACGCTATTATAAAGGAAAAGCAGGGAATCTCATTCCCGCTACTCTCCTCTCTCAAAGCACCAGTTACCTGCTTGAAAGTCGAATGGTCAATTTCTGGGCCAAGGCTCTACACAGGGATGTTTTTCCAGTTCCTGGAGGACCTGTAACAAAATTTAAGCAAATACGTGTTTATGTCAGTGTTGTGGCAAATTTCTTAAAACAACAGCAGTTGCATTTTCCACAGAATACAAAATAAGATGAGAGTTCGACACCATGAATGTTATTACAAGCACTGTTTATTAACTCACAAAGAAGTTCGCTAGCAAAGTGCCATAAAATATTACCACTACTGTACACTTTAAAAGTCTTTTTTCCTAATTTGAATTTAACTTGTGCTTCTCGTCTTAGCTTCCACTGCCCCTGATACAAGCCCTGCTTCCGGGCCGAGGGGCTGGCTCAGCTCTCTGAGTGAGCACTGCATTTCCTGGTCTTTGTCTTCATTGACACCCTCTTTGTCCCCACATGTCATCTATGAAATTTACTTATTAAGACATCTTTCAAAAGTCAAACCCAGCCCTGACTGGTTTGGCTCAGTGGATAGAGCGTCGGCCTGTGAACTGAGGGGTCCCGGATTCGATTCCAGTCAAGGGCATGTACCTTGGTTGCGGGCACATTCCCAGTGGGGGGTGTGCAGGAGGCGGCTGATCGATGTTTCTCTCTCATCGATGTTTCTAATTCTCTATCCCTCTCCCTTCCACTCTGTAAAAAATCAATAAAATATATATTTTTTAAAAAAGTCAAACCTACCTTTCTTGCTAATCATCAGGACTCTTAGGCACTGAAGCTTTCTGTGTCTGCAGCCCACAGCAGCACCATCTTTCACTATGGCTATTTCTACACCGGCCTGCACTCCATACTAAACTAGAGGATGAATGAAGGCAAGGACCCTTGATTGTACAGCCTCTTGCTCTGTGTGTCACCTAACATGCCTTGCAGAAGTTCTGAGGTGTCCAATGTAGAAGAACAAGCGCATCTAATAGAAAATGCTGGTACATTCAACTGATTTTCTGCAAGCATTTTCAATAATGGAAAAGGAAATATACAACAAGTTCTAAATGAAATAATTGAAATACTATTGATTGCCTACTCTGAACCTGGTATCAGGATAATGTGCTGAGGTATCTGCTATTTAAAAGACACTTCTTGAAAGGTGTATACAAATGTACAATCTTAACTGGTATAAACAGGCTGGTTACTTTGAGCTCCTACCTCATTGTAATTTGGGAATGCTAGATTTCTTTCCATCCAGGGCTAAGAAAAATATCCCCTATCTTTCTCTGAGAAGAACTAGACAAACTTTCTGTACTGTAAAGTATGGTTTTGCAGCTTACTGCTCACAAAGCAAAGCTCTAAGAATGCTACAAAGAAATACAAGGCAATTTATTTTCCAAGGAATTTATGATCAATTGGGGGAAATAAGAGTTAATTGAAATGTTTAATAATAATATAAAAAGTCACAAGACAGTAATTGGGTAGCTGCCAGACAAAGGATCAAGTAACAAATGCCCAGAGTAATGTCAGCTGCATCAGCTTCACGGAGAAGGAACATTCTAGGACAACTCTGGCTCCACCAGAACAAAACTGCTGTAACTCCTCCCAGCAGGACAAAGGTACAAGTAAAACCCGGCATCACAGTCTACCTTGTCAAATGCAACCTCGCATGCCTTACCGTGAAGCAGCACCACCCGGTTCCAGGTGATGAGATTGCTGTCAACATTCCTATCTGAAAACAGTAACGCTGTCATCACATAATCGAGGAGCTGAGTGAAGAAAGGAAAATGCAGATAAAGAGGCTAACAGGCAAAGGCTCCCACTCTGTGTGCTCCTGCATGAGCAGCAGGGACAGGAGCAAGGCAGCCTTGCAGAGACGCCACAACCAGACGCTTCCTGGATCTATCACCAGCTTTCGTTTTAGAAGGTAACTTTAAGCAGAAGAGGATAGCTGCTGGCTATTACTATTATAAGCATAAACGATAAACAGTATTTGAATGCCTAGATTACACAAAATAACTAAGGGACTTGTCAAGTAGGACTAAGCTCCTTCCTCTGGGCTGACACAGCAGAAGGCAAGCACACAGCACACTCACTACAATATAACAGTCAGGACTCCCTCCTCTCGCCGTGGCTGCCCAGAGCAGCCTGGGAAACCAGGATAAAGATTTCCATTTACTTGCTCCATTCTGCCAACCTGCTCTGTCTGCAGTGTTCCCCTCAGCCCCCATGGTTCCTAAGAGTGAAAACCCACAGAAGCTGTCTTCACATTTGGCACCCTCCCTCTTCCCCTACAGGGGACGCCCCAGAGACCAACTCCACGTGGGAGCAGCCTCAGAGGACAGGCATCCAGGATATCAGCTGCTGGCGGGCTTGAGTCAAAGAGCTTTGAGTTGTTAGCAATACAACAGTGACTCTACTTTAAACAATGGGGTCTTTTGGGAAAAAAAGTGCAACTTACGTGAGATTTGACTTCCACATCATACACCAGGCTGTCCCACAGCCCGTGGAATTCAGCTGTGACAAAATGAAACAAAAACTTAACTTTAGGAAGCAAGCATTACACCTACCAGCTAGATCTACTCTGAGCCACCGATGCTCTCCCCTGCTCCACACATGGCATGCTAAGATTCTGATTACAGGGAAGTTAAATTTTTAAAAATTGTCTTAAAATTATATATGTAAAATAAATGTCAGCTATGTAGGATTTTTGACAGGTAATTAACTGGGTAAGAGTTGCTTTTTATCATGTTGTTACATACAGTCATCTTTGGTGGACCTGCGCTTTCCACAACACAGACTCTAATCCACCACTCTCCCTATAGGTCAGTCATGGCGAACCTATGACAACGTGTCAGAGGTGACACGCGAACTCATTTTTTTGGTTGATTTTTCTTTGTTAAATGGCATTTAAATATATAAAATAAATATCAAAAATATAAATCTGTTTTACTATGGTTGCAAATATCCAAAAATTTCTATGTGTTACACGGCACCAGAGTTAAGTTAGGGTTTTTCAAAATGCTGACACGCCAAGTTCAAAAGGTTCGCCATCACTGATATAGGTCAACAAGGCAGACCAGCGGTCTAGTCTAAACATTAGGACATCAGGCATAAAACTAGATGACTAAATTAACCCCAGGACTCTGCCTACAAGAACACATTGGCTAGTCCACGAATGAGCATCGAGACAGTTGGAGGAAGGAGTGGTCCAGCAGGACTGACTAAGTAGGCAGGAAAGAAGAGAATGGTCCCATTCTCAATGAAGACCATCTGTGAGGATCCAGTGTAAAGGAACTCTCTACTTCCCTCTTTTGTGATACACTTTCCATTTCATAAGATATAAAATACCTTAAAATCCTACAAAACAAATGAACAAAAACCTCTCTGGTTAGCTGACTTGGAAAGTCTGAGATGTATGCTATCCTCTGACCTTGTGGACTCAGCATGCTCTAACTACTGTTGCTATCACACCTACCTGCGGGCAGAACCCAATGATTTGCTGCAATTATATTTTCTGTCTCTTCTTCCAAATTTTCACTGGTGGGGCCATCTTCATTTAGGTGGAAGATGTGAAGTGCAATAGTGCACACACTCAAATCAATGGGCTGTGATGAGAAGGAAAATCAAATATATCTACACAAATGGAAAAATCACTTGCTTTTCAATTCTAATATCCAATTTGAATCCTAAAGTCCAAAAATAAAGATTGAAGGTGATGTTAATAGAAAAAGTCTATTATTTCAGATTCAGAATTAGCTCTTTAAAAAAAGAAAATATGGAACGCTTCACGAATTTGCGTGTCATCCTTGCGCAGGGGCCACGCCAATCTTCTCTGTATCGCTCCAATCTTAGTATATGCGCTGCTGAAGCGAGCACCAGAATTAGCTCTTTTAAATGTGTTTATCCCTCCCTCCCCTTTTGGTGTATAACAGCTATTTGAAAAAACAACTTTATTGTTTTTATAATTCTAAAAGTAACACACTTGTTAAAAATTGCAATTACAGAATGAAGAATGTCAAAGTTGCCCAGCATGGCTAAGTGGTTGAGCGTCCACAGTTAGATTTCAGGTCAGTGCACATGCCCAGGATGCAGGCTTGATTCCCAGCATGGGGCGTGAAGGAGGCAGCCGATCAGTGATTCTCTCTCATTATTGATGTTTCTATCCCTCACTCTTTCTCCCTCCCTTCCTCTATCTGAAATCAACAAATACATTAAAAAAAATATGGCTAAGCCCCCTATATCAACCTCATAGATGTTAGCCTATAATACATCCATACATATATCTGACCCAAAATTGATTCTATCCCAGTTTTCTACCCATGCTTTTCTCAGTTACTAGAGCTAGGAGACATTTTACATTAGTAGATAGAAATATCATTCTCTTTCATGGTTATAGCATATTTGGTGTGAATAGCCAGACATTTAACCAATCTCTAATAAAGTTAAAATATTTTGATAGCTAAGGTGGTGTGGGTTTGGAACCAGAGTGCCCATGAGGCCTTCCTGACTCCCCAGCATCCAGACAATTGCAGAGGAAGCCCTTTCTTCGGAGGGTGGTTCTGAGTTCATATCCTGGGAGTCACTCCTGGAGCTATAGCTAGAGCCTGCTACTCTCCACAATCTATCTCACGTTCATCTTAACGTTACTCAAATGTTTCCCATTATCTAAAAGATTAAAAATGGCAGCAGAGTAAGTGGATGTTGCACGGACATGCTTACAGGAACAAACTGGAATTACAACTAAAATACAGAAAAACTTCCTGAATAATCAACGGAAAACTCACTGGAGAGAACCCTGATACCTGAGGACCGAAAGTGGAGACCGCATAGAGACTGTTGGAGGGGTGGAGGCGCAAAAGGGCTGGCTGGTTGCCTACAAACAGCAACTGAAGTTCCGGAGAGATAGCTCAGCCGTGGGGGGTTGCCACTGAGAACTCTGGCATCTAATCCCCAAGCTGGGCCCAGCAGAAAGCACCAGAACTGAGAAGGGTAGCCACATAACATCTGGGTGTGAAAAGCAGCAGGGTTGCTGTCTGCCAGGGAGTGACTGCTGGAAATTCAAGCATCCTCTTAAAGGGCCAACACACAAAATTCCCTGTGGTGCCACGCACCTTGTGCTCCAGCAGGGAGGGCAGAGTGGACTGGAGCTGTGTGAGCAGAAGCCAGGGTAGGGGACTCAGGGGTTAAAGCTCAGAAGGCAGACACCCCTGGTTTCCTATGTTGAGTCATTACCTCAAGCAGTGGAGGACACCTTTCCCACACAGACACTTGCTATTCAGGCAGCCTTGCCTCAGGGGAAGACAGTTGACCCACCCTATTGGATAACACCTTGCCCTGAGGCCACTTAAGAGACTAAAAATAACAGCCTCCAGGCAGAAGCAACTGCCCCACCCTATTGAGAAAAAACAACTCTAGACACCCCTGAGGATGATTGCCTAGGGCAATTCAAGTTGGCACCCTATCAGTTGGTAGGCAGAGGCTCTCTCTGGAGGCTTTGAGTCTTTGCCTGATCTAATTAGTCAGAAACAGCATTTGACACTGTCCTGCACTAGAGATTGAGAGGTATAGCAGATCTACCTAATACCTAGTCACAAACCCAAACAGGCAGCCAAAATGAGGAGACAAAGAAACAACCCCAAATGAAAGAACACGAGAATTCTCCAGAAGAAGAGATAAATAAAATAGAGATAAGAAATTTATCTGAATTTATCTGAAAGAGTTCAGAGTAATGATGGTAAAGATGCTCAACAGCATGAGAAAAGATATAGTAACTATAAAAACAGAAATAAAGCATGACATTGCACAAATAAAGAACA